AATTAGAAAAAAAAACCGCGTTGATTCTTCTTTTTGGTTGATTGATTGTTCTTTTGGTTGATTCGTTGAAGCAAAGTCATTTTATTTCCAGTCAAAAGAAATAATAATAATAATAATATAAGTCATTTTCCTTACTTTTTGGAAAAAAAAATTTTTACAGTGGATTTATCAGATTTTTATTTTAAATTAAGTGAAGATAAAATTTTAAATTTTATGTAAGTAAGAATATTTTAATTAAATTTTTTTATAAATGTATTAAAATTTTTTAAAAGGTATACAATATTTTTTTACAAATAATTAAAATATTAAGTACTTATTAATTTTAATTAAATAAATATTAAAATTTTTAAAAAGAATAATAAGCAAAACACTAGATTAAAATATAGTGCTGGTTTATTTCTACTTTCTTTCCTCACTAAAGGATGAATCAAAATCTAGAATATGTTCCGTTCAAAAATAATAATAAAAAAAAAATCTAGAGCATGTTCGGCTTGAAGGAATAGAGAAAAGTGGAGAAAAAATTCAGATTAAAATATTGGGTTAAAATTAATTGAGTTAAAGCTGGTTGCTTATTGTGGAAGAAGAGGCTATTATGAATGTGAGACTAGCTACATTTAGATTGATTGCAACACTTGCTTTGACTGTGAATGAGATCATCATGAGTGGGATTCTTCATAGCTAATCTTTCTTCCCAAAAACTGTAGTATTTAGATGGAACTCCTTGAATGCTTAAGACAAACGATTGGTCTACACAGCCAGTAAATCGTTGGAAATACTACATGCAACTTTTACATGAGGAATTCACACATAAAAAAGAAAAAAAGGAAAAAGAAAAAAAAGAAAAAGAAAAAAGAGAAACTCTTGCTAGAGGATCCATGAAAAGTGCTATCTTTTGCCAATTAAGGTTAGTGGCGATCTAGAGTTGAGGAAGGCAGCTTCCCTTTTAAAATCCCAGGAAGAAAAGACTCTAAAAAAAAATAGAGTATTTTTTTAGCCATACTTTCTTGAGATTTATTTTCTTTAAAAAAAATTTGAGAAGAACAGATTATAGAAAAATACATAAAAATATAGCTAAATGATCACCCTTATATTAGTTGACTGTGATCTATAGAAGAGGAATCAATATATGATATCAACATAACAAAGATTTATCATTTATGATTATCAATCTTATAACTTTGATTATAAGTCTCAATGATTCAAATATTATCATTAGATTAAAGAAATCTCTAGCACATATATTATAATTTTACATTAGTGTCATAATCAAATATCAAATAGATGATATGTATTAATTAAAAGTCCATTACCATATCTTTCTCGGCCCTTGGGCTAAGATCAATTAAAAGTCCATTACTTGCAAAGTTAGATGTTCAAATGCTTTTACTTTAGGATTGATAAACTTTTGGATTTTAAAACACACACATATGAAAGGAAAAATATATATCAATTCTAACTTCTAAAAGAAATTAAAGTTTCAACCTTAAATTACGTCATTTTATTTAATTAAAATTCAATTCAAAATTTAAAAAACTATCTTATTAAATATTGATATATAAATTTAAAAACTGATTATATTAGAATATATAATTAGTTTTTAAATCTAAATATCAACATTTAATAATAAGATTTCAAATTTCAGATACATATTGAAATTTCAATTATTTTTAAAAACCAGACTTGATATGCACTAATCTTTATATATAAAATCAAATTACAATTTTCCTTATGTGCTCTCTTTAGAACATAGTGTCCTTAATTGCAGAATTCTTCAAAAGTCATATCCTTTTTTGTGGCTTTTGCCATTTTGAAGTGTGATGAACAGATCAGTCCTCCATCTCTGCCTCTCTCGACCCCCAGCACAGCGTCCATGGAGCCGGACTCCGCCCCTGATCCCCTGAGAAACCAATTCGCATCTCTCAACGACCTAACCTACGAGCTCGCCTCTCTCCAGGACCTTGCCACCCGCGGCTCCTGGCGCTCCATCCTCGACAAGGTCGCTCGAGCCCGCTCCCTCAACCTCCTCTCCAAACCTCACGACCACCTCACCTATCTCGCCTACAATGTTCTCGCTCTATCCAAGCTCCGCCGCTTCCCCGAGGCCTCCAGTGAGCTGAACTCTCTGCACGACTTTAACAGCCACCTGTACCGGTACGAGAACTATCCCGACGTCTACCCCAATCGCTCCGGTTCGATGCTTCCCTTCATCCTCCGGTTCCTTCACGCGCAGATCCCGATTAAAATCGGCAATCGCCTGGAAGGGTTAGATCGTTTCTATTCTTTACTTGATTTTACGCGGCAAAGGATTAAAGAAAAAGAATCAAAGAATTTAGATGTCTCTGTTAGTTTGTGGAGAAAACGAGAAGTTTTTGTCATGAATTGTATAATTGGGCATCACCTGGGTGCTAAAGAGTTCATTGTGTGCTTGGATTTGATCAGTGATCTGATTCGTCGAGATTATTTAGACCCTCTTCTGGTTTCCAAGTTAGGGTATATACGGATGCAGATTGGTGATGTCGAAGGGGCGAAAGGGTCGTTTAATCGCGTTGAAACGATGCTAAATGAAGGGAAGAGTAATGGGTCTTTGAGTGAGGTAGAGTTCAAGAATCTTGTCAGCAGAAACAAAGCATTAGTGTATTTAGTGGGGAAGGATTATGTGTCTGCTGTCAGGGAGTACGATGCCTGTATTGAGAGAGATCTAACAGATGTTATTGCTCTCAATAACAAGGCCCTTTGCTTGATGTACTTGAGGGATTTGTCAGATTCGATTAAGTTGTTGGAAAATGCCCTGGAGAGGTTACCTACAGTGGCATTGAACGAGACTGTGGTGATCAATTTGTGCAGTATGTATGAGCTAGCATATGTTAATCACTCAGAGATTAAGAAGACATTGAGTAATTGGATTGCCCGGGTTGCACCTGATGATTTTGATTTGTCATGTACCAGGATTTGAGGTTGAATCTTTTGACTCTATTGTCGCTGTTTTACACCCTGACGTTGTTGTTTATATATAGATTATTAGGAAAGTTAAAATGAGTCAGCCTCTTTGTGTTGGAATGATTTTTATGTCTTGTTCTGGGTTTGGAAATGCATACAGGATTCAGTTAGTCTGTATGGAGCTAGAATTGATGTAGAAGGTCTCTACTTTGAAACAGATATGAATAATTGCTTTACATGGGTATCTCTTTTTAGGTCATATTTTCTGCTCATTGGGTGCAAGATGAATTTATAAACACTTTCTTCTACTGCTAAGAAGAATTGGACAAGTCTAATTATTGGGTGTTCTAAGGATTTCCAATATGCTTTTTCATGATATTACACTAGTTTGGCCTCTAGGGCATATATTAAGTATTATATTACGTGAATTAATGTCTCTGTGTGTTGGGGTTGAATCATCTTCTCTATTTCAGTAGTTGAACTGCAATCTATGGATATACTTATGGACATAGCTTCGCTGCATCTATTCATATAACTTAATGATCACTTTGGTTGATTCTTGAGTCATGTAACTTTGTTAACTGATGAGTAAATTGACTACTCAGGTCATGCTATAAACCTCACTTGGATAATTCATGACAACAATGTTTATGTTGCCCATGAATCACTCGAAGAGAGTTACATGTTTTCATGATCATGACACATAACCTTTTGGTATTGTTTAGTTCTTTCCCTGTTATCTTTAATCAATGAGATGAAATGTTGTGTTCACATTTTCTTATTGTTTCAGCCCTCGGGTTTTTTATAAAACATTTTTGTGGGATCCTGCATTATATTTACAGTACTTGCTCCAAGAAAACCTTTACCACATCTACTATCCTTTATTTGCCCTTGTTTTAAAATCACCTGTTCCTTATGGTATGGTCATCCTCATAAGTACAATTGTACATTTAAGAATGGGAAGCTGGGATACTGCATTTGGACATATAGAGAATAGAGACTGCAAATTTTCTGATAGGTCATTTGTACCTTAAATTGAGAATATGTTTTTTGGAGATTTAAATTGTTGTTTGACTAAATAGTAGCTAAAAAACTTGTTTGTAAAGATAAGGCTACAGGTCATAAATTTTGCGAGGGAATTCTATAGTCATATTCTAAAATTTCTTCTTATTTATTTAAATTGAAAGACTCCAAAATTTTCCCTTTTCCTTGAGAAATTTTTTCCTTCCTCGAGATTAGAAGTTGTTTCTTAATGAGACATAACACTCCTCCATTGATAACCAGTGCCACAGCAAAACTACTTTGTAATCATGGTTTAATTGTAGGTTAACAGGTTGCTTTGGTACCTGGAGATGCATTTGGGGATGCTAGCTGCATTCGCATTTTCATATGCAGCATCCCTCCCCTGCTTGCAAGCTGCTGTTGGGAGAATTAATAAAGCACTTCTTCCCCTCGGGCCTCCTAATATTCCTGTTTGGTGCTAACGTCTAATGCAAAATGCTGAGTGTATAGTTGAGGACAATCAATATATGTTTGAGGTAGATTTGGTTTGAAAAAAAGAAATGAGGTAAAATTGAAATGGTCTCTCTGTATGGAACTAATTGGAACTTTTTTATTTTTTTTAAACAATCAATACGTCTTCCAGCCAATTTACATGTACTTTGGTATTAATCCCTCCTCTTCTATTCCATCTATTATATCTCTCACCTTTTTTCTCCTTTAATGGGCTCCCTATTCCTCCTCTCCTTCCCAATTAGGTTTCTCTTGAAACCCCCTTTCCTCATTAGGAAGAATGGAAAACACATGAGACAGAGAGTTGGAGGAAATTTTATCATTTCTCTAGTTGATTAACCTCATCCAAAAATGAAAGTTACGAAGCTAGGAGAAAATTGATTTTATGATTAGAATTTTTGTTGAGAAAGAAGTTGTAATCAGATTAGGTTTAGAAATGGACATGTGCAAAATTTACCATAAGACTCCATTTTCTAGTTCATTAGTAAAATTCTTTATATCCATCAACAAAGAATTTCAAAAAAATTTAAAAGAATCTTTAAGATGAGGGAGGAAGAAATTAGAACCATTATTATTCGGTTCATAGAATGGAAATGTATGGAGACATATTTTTGTGTAGACATGTTAAAGAGCTAGTATGACATCATAAATAAAGGTGTGATAATAACATTACTTTTGGTATCTCAACAAACGAAAGATTAAAAATTGAATAAAAGGTCTTGGGTTTAATTTCAAAATATACATAAAGAAGGATCTAAAAGAAGGTCAAACATTAGTCTTGAAGCAAGCCTTTTATCATTAGACTACTAAATTAATGAACTTTCAATCTAATGGCTAAAAGGCGAAAGTTTTGATGTCATAAGACTATTGCTGGCATAAGTTGTTGTTCAACTTAATATTAAATTTTCTATTATGAAATTATCAAATCAATGAAGTCTTAGCCTAGTAATTAAGATAAAGGCTCTAATATTAAGAAACTGTTAATCAAGTCTTACTTGTACTTATTATTAAACTTCATATTAGTTTATTAGCATTTATAATTTGATTTATTGTAGTGTAACATATTAGATGCCGATTGACTGATTGATATCATGTATAGTTAGTGAGTTGTAATGAATTTGTACCCATAAAAATAAAATAAACGCACCAAACTTTCCAAGCCGTTTGCGTGCATTTCAAATTTTCAATACAAAGGCCCTTACCAATCCCAACAACCCATTAGCTATTGTATAAGTACGAGCGTCTGATCTACCAGCAAACTAGCAAAGCAGTTCAACTGCTAGAATTCATTCCCCCAAATGGCAACTTCCCTCCAGTCTTCCGCTCCAGCTGCTTCTGTTCCTTTCTCCCGTCAACTTTGTTCCGGTTACCGCAGCTCTCCGTCTGTCTCTTTTCCTCATAGTCTCTCCCTCAAGTAAGTCCCTTTCAAAATGTACTATTGGATTTGATTCATTTGTCTTCTCTGCTGGTGCGGTAGGGGAAATTGAATTTTGGGTTTTCTAAATGGCACCTATTGCATTAGATTTGGTTTGTTTTGGAGGATATATTGGAATGAGATTTTTATAGGCCAAATCTATCCATAGGACAGATCTGCCCCCAAAAAAAGGGACCAAGCACAAATTGCTATTCTAAATTATTAATTAAAATAAATCATTCATTATTAAATATATAATATCATCACATATCATCTTTCTAATAAAAATGTGACAAACAATTTCTAATCATATGATCACATGTGATTTATCTTAATTAATAATTTAAAGATTATCTTGGCCTGTTTTATAGGATGGAAGTGATACTGTGCTTGTTTGGTTGAGTTTTCAAGAATTTGACTCTCCGGTGACATCGGTGATTTTGGTTCACCCAAACTTTTAGTAGTCCTTGCTGGCTGAATCAAGAAATCAGGAGTAATACAAAGTGCCATAGATGAATTGAATGACTTTGAAATCCTTAGTATGCATCAGAGTCTAAACTTTTATTCTTTTTCTTCTTGTTGGAATTTGTTGTTCGGGGGTTTCTATTCTCCATTTTCTGTTGTCATTGCTTTGCCGTGTCAGCTGTTTGTTATGATGTTTACTGGCATTTCATGTTATGATATTCTTAAGGTAAATAAAACAAAATGAACTGATTCTCCACTAATTTTGTTAATTTCTTTGGTTTCTTCAAAGACATACTAGTTCTAGCAATGTACAAAAGTATGAATAGTAACACTTTATGGACAAATTATCAACTACAGAAAATTTCTTCAAGGCAATGGGAATGCTGTCTAATTATACGTTAATGTCCTTCTTGGTAGATCTTTAAAGACTACAACTGTTGCAAAGTCATCCAAAATAAGCGCGGTAGTGAAGACAGAGAGTAGTGGCCTTGAGCAAACAGAAGTTGACATCTCTTTGAGCCCTAGAGTTAATTCTGTGAAGCCTTCAAAGACATTGGTTATAAATGACAAAGCAACTGCTCTTGCACAAGCTGGTGTCCCTGTTATTCGGTTGGTTGCCGGAGAACCTGATTTTGACACTCCAGCTGCTATAGCAGAAGTAACTTTAACAGTTTAATGCTTTTTTGTTTTGTAGCTATAATTTTCATTACTTCTCACTCTGCTAAGAATTGTTTTATGTTTTGGTTTTTTTCTTTTTTCTGAAAAGAAAGGCTGGGATAAATGCAATTCGTGAGGGTTACACGAAGTATACTCCAAATGCAGGCACTCTGGAACTTCGCACAGCAATTTGTCACAAGCTACAAGGTGAATCCAATGCTATGTACACAACTTCTCTAATTGGAAAATTTTATTATATTTTTGAGTTAGAGGTTTCATATTGATCCTCTCCTAAACATTCCCACTAAAATTGTGGCAGAGGAGAATGGGATCTCATATACACCTGATCAGATTGTGGTCAGTAATGGTGCCAAGCAGAGTATTCTTCAAGCAGTTTATGCAGTTTGCTCCCCAGGAGACGAGGTAGGTGAAAT